CAGTTCTGGCCCAGTAAATTGTTTCGCACTCCAACTCTGGCCCAGTACTTCTTTGTAGAGGAAGATCTGGCGCCTGGCCTATTATTGTGTGTGGTTGGCACTAAGTAGCGGCTGCAGGCCCAAATCTAGACGTGATTACTTGCAAGTTACTAGACCTGGGACAGCCAGACCATGATGGAGTGGTGAGATCTCCTACATGTCGCCGTTGCTGTGCTGTGTGCTGCCTGCCCACTACGCCGGCTTTATTATGCTGAAACTTCTGAGGGCACGAGAGAACCAGAATCCTTCCGTTGCACTAGCAGTAGTTATTGTCGGTAGAACAAAGACCAAGCGAGGAACAACTCTTGACACGAACGACTCCAAACGGGTAAGGGAATGAAAGGCCTTGTCCCTGTCGGTGTAGACTCGAGAAAGCTGGAGAACTGGATATGTGTGTCCAGAACAGGTGGCAAGTGAGCGAGTGACAGCTGGCCGGCCCATAGTTACGAACTCGGTTTTGTACTGTAGTTACACCGGTCAGTGTCGTCGATGGCGAGCAATATCACCAACACGCGGTGAGCCTTCAGTAGCCGACCACCGGCTGCCGAGTGTCACGGCTTGTCACCATGCAACATGAGTATTCCCCGAGACTCTTCCCTATAGTTGGCCAACAGGCCAGGCTGGGCCCGGGCCAAGCACGGCCCGTAGGGGGTCGGGCCGGCACGGCACGCCGTGTCTCCCATGTCGTGCCCCTCCGGGTCTCGTGTCTAGCCTTCGGCCCAAGCACGGTCCTACGGGGCAAAATCCGTGCCGTGCCGACCTGGTAAGCACGGCCAAATCCGTGGCCCGTGGCAGCCCACAGCCCGGTGCCATTAAAACACCTCAAACTGCTTCTCTCATCCAACACTTCTCCATTTTCACAATCACATTTCACAATTCATTCACATTTCAGTATTTCACATTCATGAGTAATAAACTGATCACAGTCACAGATTCTCAATTCTAACAAAAGCTACCAAAGGAGACGAGAATTAAAATAACTGAGTTGTTTGTGCAATGCTGCCTCATTAAAAATCTTTCTATATAAAACTCACCCTTTGAGAAACCCTAGAAAAGGAAAAAAAAGTGCAGCACAGCTCTTAATAAGTCTTCCATCATTGTTCAAAGGTCCCAAGTCATACTGTCACAGTCACAGATGACAGATACAAAATGGAGATAACAGATTAACAGAGCATTGTCTCCTCTCTTAACACTAATTAACAGCAGCCCTAGATGTACCAGCCCTAGATGAACCAGCCCCAGCCCAGATGAACCAGCAGTACCAGCAGCCCCATCTGCATCTTCATCGAGGTACAGATTCTTGAAAGAGTCCTCCAGCTCTTGGTTGTCAATAACATGTTGTAATCTGCTTTATCCCAACTCCCAATCCTTTATGCAGGCCAGCATCTCCACAGTTCAGGCAAGAGGCGGTGTCGTCGCTATTCAATTATCCTTCCTGTCAAGTTGAAACATAATTCCGAAGAGACAATAGAAACATTAACATACATAATATCTCTAGCAATTATAGATATGATTGGATATGTTAGTTTGTGGTCACGTCACCAAAGAAGTAAATCAAAATCATCCTCATATGCAGTGAAATTGTCACTGTCTAGATAAATTGAGAGCTCATTAGCAGTAGAAGCAGATGAAGATAAAGTGGGGGCACAGGCAGGGGAAGGACCAACAACAGATTTAGGGCCTCTAAAGATTCTTCCCCATGTCTGTTTTCTCTTACCTGTATGAATTGCAGGTTGTGCAACCCTTTGACTCCTAGCTGCACCAAACTTTCTCTCATATTTGTTAAATAACTTGTAAATTTCAGTTTTCACATCAGCATAATATGAAGTATAATCACAACCAGTACTCTCTTTAAGTAATTCTAGGACTCTAAATAAATCTCTCATCTTAGTTCTAGAATCAAGAATGAATGCAAATGAATATAACAGAGGTATATGCTGCCAGTATTTAAGGAATTTAAGCTTCACAGGATATACAATAGCAATTAGATTTTCTTCTTTTTCACTTGCATGTAAATGAGAAGTAATTTCTAGCATATGGTGCAGGATATGTGGACTAGTTGGATAGTAAACACCAGAAAGAATAATAATGGAGTCATAAAATAGTTTCAGAAACTCCAATATATTTTCAGCTATATACCAATGCCTTACAGACAACAATTCTGAGCCATAATTGAAATTAATGAACACAGAAAAAACATGCTTATATGGAACCAAGTGTTTAAGCATAAGATATATAGCATTCCATCTAACATCCATATCTAAGACAAACTTTCTAGGTCAACACCCTGATTAGTACAGTAGTTCTTAAACATAGCAATTCTTTGATTAGAGGAATTTAAGAAGTTAATAGCAGTTCTAAAATCTTCTGTGTAAGGTTTGAGCCTCTTTAAACCAGATTTTACAATCAGATTAATGATATGACAAGCACAATGTTGATGCACAAGACTGTACTTACGTTTAGAAGGATCAACAGGCTCAGGTGTAGGATCAGGACCCAAATAACCAGCAAACATAGGTGTCAAAGTTTCCATAGCCTTAGCATTAGAAGAAGTATTGTCTAGAGTTACAAAGAAAACCTTATCAATGAGACCAAACTCCTCAACCACACAAGTAACTCTTTCAGCAATATTTTCACCAGTATGTTTCACCTCAATCAACCTAAGTCTAATAACCTTTTTCTGTAACTCCCAATTAGCACTAACAAAATGAGCAACAACACTAATGTAATCCTCCTTAGCATTACCAGACCAAATATCTGATGTCAGAGCAACAGAGAAAGCAGCAGACAACACGGAATTCTTAAGCATATTACGACGTTCAGTAAACAGTTTACTCAGATCTCTAGCGGTGGTCTGTCTAGATACTTTAACAAACCTAGGGTTATGAGCACGGACAATGTAATCCTCCCAGGCCTCTGTCTCACCAATACCTAACGGCAAATCAAGCATAGCAATCAAGGCGACACAATTCAGATCTAACAACATCAGGTTTATAGTCCTAATTATGCACAGAACCATTAGTATTGTAAGCAAGCCTAGACTGAACCCTAGCAGCTTGATCAGTTTTCTGCCTACAAGATTTTTGGTGCCTCTTTCAAGTGCCTAATGCCAGCATTAGATCTAGCAGATAAAGTATGCTTACACATTTTACATGTAGCTTTAGTGCAGATTTTTCTACCATTCACAGTCCCATAGATCTCATCAAAATCAGCCCACACAGCAGATTTACGCTTACCAACACCAGGTCCAGAAGAGGTACCAGTACTAGCAACAGATGGAGTTGAGCCGTTGGAGCAGACTGGGGGCCCAGTCGTCGTCGCCCCTTCACCACCGCCGCCATCTAGATCGATCAGAGTAGCAGAGCCGCTACCGACATGGTTACCAAACAAGGCAGCAGCGTCCTCATGGGTGTCGTCGTCGTCCTCAGGGGGCCAGGCCTGCCGTGATCAGATCGTCGTTGCCTGTGAGCGGCCAGACGATCTCGTCATCAGCACCAGCCATGGCGCCCTCGACCGTGGAGGGCTCTCCAGCACTGTTCCTCAACGGTGCGCGAGGCCACCTTGGTCGCTCTATGCCACAGCTAGAGGACGACGCATCGGCTACCGACGTGCGCAAAGAGATGGAGGAGTAGGAAAAGAACATATCAGAATAGATCAATCATCATTCATCAATGGAAGAAGAGAATGGTTAGGGTTAGGGTTGTACCTGCGCAACCGGAGCCCGGTGCCGGAGAAGACGAGGGCCACCCAGAGAAGACGACACACCGGTTAGAAAGATGGCTAGCGGCGGAGAAGGGGCAGACGGGGACACGAACTCACATAATCACCGAGATCTAGAGGGGAGATAGGGACAGCGAGAAGGGAGAGATGGAGAAGGAGGGGATCGGGTAGGAGGAGTAGGGAGCTGCTCGCCGGCGGCAGGCGGATCATCGAGGTCACCTCATCGGAGTCGGGGAGGACAGAGCCGAGAGCCCGAGACGGTGAGGGCGAGAGCGAGGTGAGACGAGGCGCGGCGGGATGAAATGAGCTAGGGTTCGGGGTGAGGGAGAGCCGCCACGACGTGCCGCCTATATATATATGAGGGGGGGAGGCGGGGACGCCGGGGAGCGCGTGGGCCGTGTGGGCGCTTGGCCTTGGGGAGGAGAGGAGAACTGAGAAGGGGAGGGGGGAGGTGCGTGCGTGCCAGCCCACGAGCCTGAGCAGCGGTCCAGGCACGACCGGCTCCTTTGGGCCGGGCCAGTCCGGGCTCACTGACTATCGAGCCGTGCTGTGCTTGATCCGAACTAAAATTGCGTGCTTCGTGTCGAACCAACGTATCTCGAGCTGCATGGACAATATTACTCTTCCCCGATCCCTATCTGGCTATCTGTCCACGACGCGCGCGGCCGGCCGGCGTGGGGGCTGACCAAGGAGCTGCTGCCAGCTCCGCGGCCAGAGCAGTGCTCAAAACCACCGTATCGATCAGCGTCGCGCGGAGTTGCTCCGCCCCCCTGCCACCATCGGCGAACCCTTTCCGGCTGCTGCCTGGACCTTTACCTCCGAGGCTAAGCAAGTTTTTGGGCGCGATTCGCGTCGCAGTCCCGTCACGGCGTCACGTCTCGTCGAGTCGAGGAAAAGAAAACAAGAAGAAAAAAAAAGAGAGGAAGGGCGCAACGCCCACACCCAGGCAGGCCCCAGTCGGCCGGTCACGTCTGAAACCTGTGCGCCTAAGCAAGCCACTAAACAATCCGTCGCAAATCAGCGGCGCGCGGGCTGCTGCTGCTGCTGCTGCTGCTAAAAGCTTATAAGAGCAGGCGAGGCCTGCTACTGATCCGCCCACCAAACCGCGCCACCCAGTCTTCTCTTCTCACTTCTCACTCACCAACCAACCGAGCAACTTGGCTCATACCAGCGACACGCCGAGGAGCTAGAGGAGCGCGCGCGAGCTGAGGCTGAGCTGTTGGAGCTAGGCAGAAGAAACCATGTCGACGACGACGACGACGACGACGACGATGAAGGCGAGCGACCCGGGGTCCGCGTGGTTCGGCAGCGGCGCCGGCCGGACACCGTCGGCGGCGGGGACGGGCCACAACACGCGTCTCATCACCACCGCGGTCGCCGCGTTCGTGTCCGTGCTCGGGCTTGCCCTCTTTCTCCACCTCTACGTCTGCCACGTCCGCCGCCGTAACCGGCGCCGCGCGGCGGCCAGAGCTGCCGTGCTGCCGACCACGGCGGTGGCGGCCCCGACGAAGTGCGGGCTGGATCCCGCGGCCATCGCGGCGCTGCCAACCACCATCTACAGGGATGACGTGGGCGGCGAGGTGGGCGCCGGCGGCACCGACGAGTGCACCATCTGCCTCGGCGCCGTGGAGGACGGCGAAGTGGTGCGCGAGCTCCCGGCCTGCGGCCACGTGTTCCACGTCCCCTGCGTCGACACCTGGCTCGCGTCAAGCTCGTCGTGCCCGGTCTGCCGCGCCGAGGTGGAGCCGCCGCCGCCGACGGCGACGGTGGGCTCAGCTCGGTTCGTGCAGGAGAAGGTGCAGGACGCTGTGAAGGAGGAGGCCGGCAGCTGCAGCTCGACGCCGGAGCGGGGGATCGGTGCCTGTGCGTCGCTGATGAAGATGTTGAGCAGGGAGGGGCCGGCGCCGCGAAGGCCACAGGGCGCCTACGCCGATGCCGGGGACTTGGACGACTTGGAACGGCAGCAGTATGCTGTTGCCGTGAATAATTAATTAATCTATTTTTTTTTAAATGACGGCCTTTTTAGTTTGGTCGTTTTCCACATCACGTGTACATCCCGCACTTGCGTAAGTGGTGCAGTACTAAGACAATGCAAGTCTGTGAGCTCTTAACTTTTTTGATGAATGTAAGGGCCCGTTTGAAAAGAATTGATATGGTTCGAATCTCTACAATTTAGTTCAAATCTGAACTAAATCCTTAAGTTTCTCTATTTGTCCACACTCAATTTTTTTTTGAATCTAGTCCACACTCTAACTTTTGATGCTTAGCAGACATCAAACATGGATGAAGCTTCAAGTTTTATTTACCCTATATACCCTTGCTGTCCGTAAGCCAGGGGGTGGATAAAGCTATGTGAAAAAAAAGGTTAAAGCAAAGTGGCCCCTATTAGAGTATGTGTTGTATTTTGTTCCAATATGTGTCTTAAGATATGACTTTCCTAGGTGGCAACATTTTATTTGACGGATATTTATAGACCCTCCTGTAGACACTAAGGGCAGTCTCAATGGTGTATTGATGATAGTTTTTATCCTCATTAAATGACTTGCCACGTAGGCAAAATGCTGACATGGCAACGTAGTTAATGAAGAAAGAAAGCAAAAAACATAGAAATGGTTTCTTCATGAAGAAACTAGGTCTTCTCTTGACCCAATGCACCAAAAAACTATGAAATCGCCATTGGGGAGAAACCACCAGTTTTTAGAGGGCTCGTGTCGCACTTCCATTGGAGGAAGAAGATAGAGTTGGGAGAGAGAAAGAGAAAATAATTATTACTCATAGAAACCATGAGTTGGAAAACAGTACTTTTTTTATACGGTATCCTATGTTGCAGAAACTATTAGTTTCTTTCATTGGGACTGCCCTAAAAAGAGTCTAGACCATATAATGACTGAGGGGGGAAAACACTCCCTCACCCTTTTTCTCCTCTTACTCTGCCTATTGGCACGTCTGCATTCTTTTTACTTGATGTTGTCACTCAAACTTCACTCCCTCTTAAGGATTGAGGTAACGAAAATAACTTCTTCTTTTGCATGACTCTATCCTTTTCCTTTTACGATATTGCAAAAGGCTTAAGCCAGGTAGAACCTCTCCCATCAGATCGTTGTTAGACTGTCTCAACAAGGAATTTATGGGCATCTAAACCTAAAATAGGTAGCAAGAGATCCAAAATCAGCCTCCAACAGAGTACTTATACGAAAGAACTATTTTGGGTTGCCTGAGAGGCACAACCCAAATATGGGCATCCTCTCTCCTGGAAACCCATTTACAGAAATGATTCTCTTTTAGGTCTTGTTGTTTAAGAATATGCCAAATAGGTATTGAACCTTTTGCCTGTAACGCTACCCAAAAGACGAATGAGTCTTGTATTTTGGGTGTTGTTGTTGAAGATAGCCTTATAAGGTATTGCATGATTTTCCCTTGCAAAACACAATATAGGGGCCGTTCGCTGGTCTGGTTCAGACCAGCCAGCGGGCTGCTTTCTCTCTCAAGTTACTGTTCACCAAACCAGCTGAACAGTGTTTTTCTCTCACAACAAACCAGCCGAAACAGTGTTTTTCAGCCAAGTTTCAGACCAACGAACGGGGCCATAGACGCTGAGACTCTTACACATGCAAATCCACGCACGCATGAGCATCCTACATCGATCAAAGTCTATGGAAGACTAGGCAGGTAGGTCTTTAAATTGAAAAGGTCATAGATACCTTACCGTTGATAGGTGCGTTACCTACCATTTGAAAAAAAAATAGTCACATTAAAAAGACATAAGAGATATCAAACCTAAGGTTTGATCCTTGATGGATAGAGTGTACAATCTACCACATGCTCTACTAAAGTACCCATGTGTGATTTTCTCGTTCAAGTTCACACTTTGACCAATGTTTCTATCAAATAATATGTGAGTTATGTCAATTGCAAATCTGAAAGTTATCTTGAGGAAAGAGCCTTCGTGTAATCTCTTTGATTTTCTTTTTGGCCATCTTTGTTTCATAACTCTTATACTTTTTCTTTCTTCTTTTATACTCCATCCGTTCCAAATTACAAGTCGCTTTGACTTTTCTAGTACATCCATTTTGCTATACATTTAGATATAATAATATGTCTAGATACATAGCAAAATGGATGAACTAAAAAAAAAGTTAAAGTGACTTATAATTTAGAACGGAGAGAGTATATAATATATAATATTTTTTTAAGAAGTATAACATATAATATAATCAGTAAGGTTAACCCCCTCATGTTCCTTCAAAAAACAAATCTGAGTTATGTGCCACAAAATTGGTACCATTGGATTTAAAAGGTTATGATCTTGTGAATTTAATACAATATTATAGGTAAAATTAAATAAGATTGATTTTGCATATTCAAAAGACGTGTCTTATAAAAACGGATCAAGGGAGTGCACACTTTGTACGGGCCTTAAAATTCAAAGTATGCACTTGAAAGCTAATTGTTGCCGACAACATTTTGGCGTGATCTTGTCCTAGAGGTCTAAGAACTTAAAATTCATTTTAACACAACTCAACTACAAACATGCTTCACGTTTGTTGAGTAAACAAATGGTTCAGTATCCCAGATAGTTTTAAGGTCACTTCAGCAAGTGGTAGCTGGTAGCATCGTGCATGACCGCACGCTCTTATAGATTAAATGGGTCACGTACATTCTGGACGCACGCATCTCTAAAAACTGCTTGTTTATCAAAAAAGAAGATCTACAAATTGCACGTGACGATGATGGTCACATACAATGGCCCTGTTCACATACAATGTTCCTTACTCGCCCTATAAAGCAGCTAGTGCTGTCATTTTTACAGAGATCAAAAAAGAAAGGACAGTGGATGAACATGATGCCGCGGGCATTCCGGATAAGCTTACTATATGCCCTACAAATTGCACGTGACGATGATGGTCACATACAATGGCCCTGTTCGCTTACAATGGCCCTGTTCACATACAATGTTCCTTACTCGCCCTATAAAGCAGCTAGTGCTGTCATTTTTACAGAGATTAAAAAAGAAAGGACAGTGGATGAACATCATGCCGCGCGCATTCCGGATAAGCCTACTATATAGTATGGAAGCACCAGTGATAGAAGCTGCGAGAATGCGCCAGTTGACCCTTGCCCCAATTCCTCTTTTATTTCTGCGACCACGCACTGCTCTGCCACTCCCATAGGGTGGTGTGAATTGATCACGTACATACAGGTCCTGCTCCTCAGAAATGCTCAGAGGAGCAAGTGTCCACACGAGTCAACACCACACACAGCAAGAGGGAAGCACCAGCTGCCGGCCGGGGTCAGCGTCAGAGAGGGAGGTAAACGTCGCGCGTGTCGCCGTCGCCCAAAGGACTCCCCGGTTCTCTGCGCACTTTGCATCTGCTGGAGAAAAAGCAGGCAGCCGAGAGTGGCCGTCCGACGCAAAAGCTGCCTCCTCCAACACGAAAGTTGCGGCCGGTGACTTGGAAAGTCGCCGGTGACGTCTCCGTACTGTGCCGAGAAAAATTCGGTTAGATCGCCTGAGCAGAAAAAGTGACGGGAACGGGATTCCGGCCGGCCGGCCGGGCCGGCGGACTAGAAGCCTGTTCGTTTGGCTGTGGCGTGTCGTAAACGATCGTAAATTTTCAGCCAGAACAATATTTTTCTTTCACACAAACTAACCAATAGTATTTCTTCACGAACCGATCACCGAATAGCTGTAGCTAGCCCCGCGCGTGCGAGCTAGCCGACGGGTAGTTGGATGGGACCGGAGCCTGACGATCAAGCATCCATTCGTGATGCTGAGAGCAATTCAGCTCGAGTTCCATATGAGGATAGTACATACAGCCTCCGGTGTCTAGCTAATCAGTAATCACCGCGTTTGGGGGCAGAGCAAGATAAGCATGCGATTTAGCACCGTGATAATCAATGGCGAGCGTTTTCTTTTGGTTTAGTATTAGGGGAATCAGGGGAGCATGGAACCTCGCCGAACATAAAAAAAAAGTTGTTTGTGCTCCGGCGCTGCAATCTGGACCAGTCGAGGGCACTACACTAAGCGCTCTGGATTAGCAGGAATAGATTCGTCCATCGATCGAAGATTTGTTAAGGATAAAAGCAAGATAAGTCTCACCAGCTTCATGCTTCGCATGATTAATAGTACTACCCGCTAGTGTGTAATCTAACCTTATTAGGCTAACACTAACAGGGCTAAATTAGGTACAATGGCATCGCATCAGGACAAGCAGTCTGTACAGTACAGACTATCCGGTAGCGAAAGATAGGCCAATTTTCGAGCTCTTTTCTGTAGCCTGTTGTAGGCTGAACGCTGAAGGCCTGCAGGAGGTAGCATGGACTACGGAAAATCGGGTTGCGGATAACCTTCACAGCGTCGGTCGGGACAATGGCTGTATGCCTGTATCTGCATTTAGATTACACCTTTTTTTTTCCTGAGATCATGGCTCTTTCTTTTCCTGGAACCTGGCGGATAGAGAGAGAGAGAGAGATTGGGGAAGACCACCTGTAAGAGTGACAGAGTCAGATAAGCACCATGAACGGAAAAAAAGAAAAGAGCAGTAGTACTTAAAAGCAACATGTTAAAGACAGTTTAACTTGTTACGCTGAACAACTCGTCGAGTTTATCTGAAACGAGAGGTGGACTGAACAATTGTAACACTCAGCACCAACACAGGTGCCGCATCAACAGAGAGTTAGCTGGCCGGTGTACATGATGAAAGCAGGATCCAGAGCATGTAGGCAGTAGGCTGGAGACCTAGGGCTTCCTCAACACTGCTTTTTACTGGTAGCCCCAAGTATCATATAGGAACGGATAAAAAAAAGTATGTGCTCTATACTTGTCATAGTAGCTTATAGAAGCTATATATGTTTGGAAAGAGAGAAGATGGTTCATGCTAAAAAAGAAGAGGGAGAGAAAATAAAGATGAGGTATCATGAAAGAAAAAAAAGTTTCTTTGCAAACCACAAGTAATGATAGTTTGCATTGTGGGGATATTAGTCTCAACAT